CATACACAGTAAAAATGCCAGTGTTAAAATCTCAGGTGTAGTGTTAAATAAAGAGTGTGAGTGTTGTTTTAACATCACACAGCTTTAAAATAACACTGCCAGTGTAACTTCCGACATATTTGCGTTGTTAAATTGCAGTGTTAATTGGTTGGTGTTGTGTTGCTTAAGCCCCGCCTCCGCGTAACGACTGCAGAGTACGTTCTACTTTCTGTGGTCTCGCCACCAGTCACTCGATCTGTACGGCTTCTTTTCGCACATTAAAGGTAAGCTAAATATCCATACATGACTATTGTTTCGTTGGAAATTTGCTTTTTAGTTTGTGACTTAAACAAATGCATTATATTTAACCCATTTTGCATGGAAAATTAATTAAATTCAAGGTCCCGCCGTTTTGCCAAATCTAGGCGAACGGTAAATTTGAATTCTCTTATATTTGGTAAGTTATAGTTGTCATTTAAAACCATGAATAAGCGGTATTATTTGAAATATTGGCGATGTGTGCATAAAAAAAGCTAACATTGCAAACTGCTTTCCTCCGAGAGGATGTGGGGATTTTTTTTATTCCCTCGCGAAGTTGTTCGTTACGTCGAGAAATAAAGTGTTGCTAGGTAAGGGTAAAGCTAAACTTTTGAGAGGGAACGCAAAAGAGAGCGAAAAAAAGATTCCCGTGTCCCCTTGAGGGCTCCGTAGACTATAGCAGTAGCAAAGCAAGAGTGTAAAAAGCCACGTTACGGCTAGCCGCTAGGGAAGCAAACTCTGGCTAGCTAACTAGCTCAAACACTCTAGCTAATTCTATATAGCGGACAGAGCTAACGTGTTCAAAGTGATAGTAGAAGTGATAAAGGGTTGGATTAAAATATCTGTAAGGTGTCAAAACTTCGACCGTGTCCTTTTTTCGTTATGCAGAAATGCTGGTTCAAGTGGAGTATCAGACAGTCCAAAAATGGGTTCGGGTTCCAGTGACGGATGACTGCTATGATTACTTGAAATTCATGCAAGAGGGAAAGTTGAGTACTAATTATGTTGTTGTGGCAGCTGGCATTAAATGAAGTAAGGTTAAGGTAGTTTCTTTATCTGAAATCATGTCCAGAATGCTTATTATTTTCATAAAAATGGTCATGTCAAATTTTGGTAAACTGTCTGCAAACAATATGGGCAACATTAAAGATGTAAAATTTCAACCACCAGTTCATTGTCTGAAAATATTATTTGAAATATGTTCTATTTATGAATGTAATTGGCCCTTACCAGTTCTAACCATATGCTATAATTAGCATGTTAAGATGAGTATTTTTGTTTCCTTCCAGTTCATGTTAAATTCAATTTGGCAAGTGACATCTGTGTAGACCTAAAGGACTCTTCTGGAGTTGATGTGGATGCTGATATTTTTGATGAACTCCTGAGGTCTGCTACAGAATCTTTCAAAGTAGTCACTAAGCACTTTGGTAAGATTTAAAAGCATTAAAACAAGCGTTCCTCCTAATGCATTTTAAAAACATATAAATCAAAAGTTCATTTTAAGTTGTTTACTAATGACTCTTCTAAACTTTATACAGTGGGCATCGTTGACGTGAGTGAGGCAACAGACGCTTCCTTCAGATCTGAAGACGGGTCAGCCTCGTCAGTTGAATCTCCAAGCTCAAGCTCATCTTCTACAGTGATCACAGAGAACACCAGAGCACAGAGAAGACGACTGGCTGAAGGACCACCTGACAGTAAGATGGCAAAAGATGTAAGTTGTGTCAAGGTGGGAAATGGAATGATGATCCATTTTAAAATTCATAGCAGGATGACGTGAAATCTGTTGCAGATTGTCTATGTGGCTCTGCACCAAAAACCAGGGGGAGAAGATGTATTAAAAGAATACAACAAGACCAAAAGTCTCTCTGATCCAACAAGAAGGAAACTTGTCAATATTTTAGTGGCGGATATGATCGAAAGTCATGGGTATGTACCAATAAACCTCAACCTGCTGATTGGGGGCCAGAATTTATTTAACCTTGATATTTTTGACTGATGGTACTTTTAAAAGTTA